AGCGAACTGTGCACCCATTGCTGGCGAACCCACTACATTCTCAGCAAGAGTTTGTACAGCCCTGGAACTTTGGTCGTTCAGGCATCTGGTGAACACACCGGGCATGACGGTGCTGTACCTTGTGCGTCAGGGAAAATCTTCAACGAAAAGCAGCGCGAAATTGCTGCCCGCTTCCTCTCCGGAGGTGGCCGTGGGGCCAAGAATTTGCGCGTGGCCCTTCTAGCTGCAGGCTGTGCCGATGCATCATTGCCTGACAACACCCAGCTTGCCAATTGGTTGAGAAACAACAGCCGCAAAAACAAGGATGCCCTCGACAAAGACAAGTCTGTTGTGGCAGCGGTTGCTTTGGAAGTTAGTCAGTTGCCACGAAGCCTTCCAAAGCAAATCGATGCATTGTTTCTTCTGCGGGACCCAATCATCACGGATACGGAAGTCTGTATCCTTTTCGCTTCTCCCGGGACGCTGAACACCTTTGACCGTTACACTGGTCTAGATGTCGCCCTTTCTGTGGACACCAAGATGAAGGTGTTGACCCGCGGAATGGGCGTGGCCACAGTCAGCTTATTGGTCAAGGACCAGCTGCGCAAGACGCGCTTGCCCAAACTTGGCAAAGGCTCTCGGACTCAAAGCCGTGCTTGGACGTCGCATGGCATGCCCGTTGCGCAGGCAATTTTTCACGCCGAAACAAAGCCCAACTATTGCCGCCTTTTTCGGACCTGTTGCGACTTGTGGGCAGAACGCCAGCCGAGCCGCTTGCCTCTGCCCGAGCAGCGAAGCCTTCAAATCCACAAGGACTTTCACCCCAGCGCCGAAGAAGCTCGTCGAGAAGTCTTCCCACACTCTCGGGCATGTGATGATTTTTTCCATTTCAAAGAAAAATCTCACACGGTCATGCGGTCCAAGTGCCGTCAGGTTGTTCTTCACAAAGGAAAACATGTGAAAAAGCATTTGCACTATGCCTTGACTGTGGTGTCGCTGCTGCGGTTCATCCCGACATTGCCTCTGTTTAGCTGGCTCTGGAAAGCTTTCCTGGCTTCTTTGCGACGCATGGATGAACCGATTCTAGCCGATTGGTTGCAATCATACGAGCGGCCTTTGCCATCTATCTTTTCCGAGCAAGCCGCTGGCCCACAGGATCTTATTTACGTGAGTTTCTGGGTTGGCTTTGATGGCATTATACCCGGATCGGGCAGCGGCAGTGAGCCCGCAGAAGCTGTGCATGGCGCGTGGCAAACGGAATTGGCTTCTCTCGGTGGCCGTGGAGACATCAACCATTGCTTGTGCGTCCTACAAAGGCTCTACACACAACATTGGCAAGACTGGTACTCTTGGATGGATGCTTCGCCTTTGTCTTTTCAGCCGGCCGGACAGGACCCTCAGTTAGTCAATGGTGCGGCTTTAGCGCGAGCCGGGCGCACTACAGCAGCCAACTTCTCCAAGTTGCCACCGAACTCGTGCTATGTCCTTCAACAGTCCACAGATCATTCGTGGGTTGCCTGTGCAGCCACTGCCGCCACATCGCCGGTGAATCGTAGCTTGGCGCAGGGAATCTTGCGGTTCCTTCTTCAGCCGACGCTGCTGCATGCAAACAGTTTGCCTCAGTTGTTTGACGATTCCGGCAATCTTTCATTGCAGGCCCTTCGCTTTCACTTTGAAGATGTTGTGTATGTGCGGGCGCGGCCGACGTCCCTCCTTTGTTCTTGTGCTGCCGCAACAATGCATGCCCAGTGCGAGCATTCGACGTTCCTTCGCAGCTTGGCGCTGCCGACATTCCCTTCGGACTCATTACTGCTCAATGATGTCCCAAAAGCTCGCAAGCGTACCGGGCGTCGAACAACTGCTGCTGAGCCGCCGCGGAAACGGCGCAGACGTACAGGGTGATTTGCTTCAAAGAAAGCCGTTGGTGCAGGTCCATCACGCTGCTGAAAAGTTTGTGCCGCAACTTCGCTGACAGTGCTTTCTTTGTGTAACAGCCTTGTTCTACTTTTAGTTTCTTTAAATTTCGAGCTTCAGCTTCCTCATGGCAGGTCTTTCAATTAAGCCTTTCAAATTGCAATACTGCTTTACTGCGCAGCATCTCCTTGCGCATGACATGCCCTTTTCCTTCTTCCAACCTGGACGCCATGCAGCCGGTCATTCTCTCAGGTCTACCATCCTCGTGTCCACCTGGGCCGGCGGGCGACCGACAAGGAGGAGGAGAAGAAGTCGTAGCAGTAGTAGTAGGATAAGGAGGCTGATGATGGTCATGAGGATGATGAAAATGGTGATGTTGATGCAGATGATGCTAATGATGACGCAGATGATGAGGAGGATGAGGATGAGGATGATGATGGTGATGCTGTTGATGATGCTGATGATGGTGATGATGATGAGGCTGCGGATGATGATGAGGATGATGATAACGAAGAAGAAAAGATGATGATGATGATGACGATGATGATGATGATGCTGATGATGAAGATGCTGATGATGGTGATGATGATGCGGCTGAGGATGATGATGATGATGACGAAGAAGATGATGATGAAGATGATGGTGATGAAGATGATGATGATGAAGAGGAAGAAGAAGATGATGATGTTGATGATGATGATGATGATGCTGATGATGATGCAGATGATGACCAAGATGATGAGAATGATGTTAATGATGATGATGCGGATGGGGCTTGGGATAATGATGATGGCGATCGCACGGCGCGCAGCGCCTCCCCCCGGACTGCAGACATGGAAGACCTTTGTTGTTGTTGTTGTTGTTGCTGTTGCTGTTGTTGTTGGTGTTGCTACGGTGGGTACTGCGTATACGGGAGTTGCTACAATAAAAAAGCGGGAGGGATGGATCGGGGGGAGGGCGCAGCGCCTGGAGGAGGAGCAGGCGGAAGAAGAGAGGAGAAGGAGGAGGAGGAGGAAGAGGAGGAGGCGAAGAAGAGGAGGAGGAGGAGGAGCAGGAGGAGGAGGAGGAGCAGGAGGAAGAGGCCAAGGAAAAGGAGGAGGACGAGGAGGAGGAGTTGGAGGAGGAGGAGGAGAAGGAGGAGGAGGAGGAGGAGGAAAGGAGGAAGAGAAGGAGGAGCAGGACGAGGAGAAGAAGAACAAGGAGGAGGAGAAGGAGGAGCAGCAGCAGGAGCAGGAGAAGGAGGAGGAAGAGGAGGAGGCAGCCGACGCCGAAAACACCCGTTACCGACGCAAAAAACACCAACCGTCCCAGAAAACACTGTTTGCCGACGCGACAAACCCCGGGGCCGTCGCAATAAACACCGGCCAACCGACGCAGAAAACACCGTTCCAGCACCGACGCAAAAAAACACCGGTACATGTGCACCGTCGCAAAAAACACCGTTTACCGACGCAATAAGCCCGGAGCCCTCAGTTTCCTTCTGGATTTTTAAGTAATCTTCGCAATAATGAAAGCAACCCTCAAAATGCACTGTCTGATGCTTGTCTGCCCTGTTTGCGCACATTCTAGAGACTGTTAAGAGATGTTAAGAGCATTCCAAAGGCCCCTGGCGAACCTCCAAGGGGTCCAGAGAAGCCGCAAGACAGACAGATATGAGCCCACAGCTTTTCTGGCAGCTTTTCCAAGCCAGAAATGATCAGAAAATTCGATTAATTCCAATTTGTCACCCAGTCACCAATGGACTACCCTCCACTACTTAGGGATCTTCATTGGACACTTATTGGATGGTCCAGGTATATTGCGTATATATCCCCGTGCCTATTTCCTCTACAAAATCGATGATGATACCATCACAAAAACAGCATTATTTTTATACAGAATGATCTGCTTATGTTGGAGGTGGCATCTCAGAGAGTCTGATTTTATAGAGTTGACAATGATTCTCAGTCTCACCATCCTCAATTCTATAGAGCTCAAAATGCAGCTTCTCATTTTGGATGTCATATGCAGCATTTTATAACTATAAAATCGGTGTACCCACCCCACCCACTGAATTCCCAGGGGGATGCGTATATATAAATTATATGTGTATAAATTCTAAGGGAGTAGAAGCAGCCTTCTTCGGACGCAACCACCGAATGACACTCTCCCACATGTGCTTGGTCTCGGTCTCGGTGCACGTTTTTGCAGGACCCGGTGTTATTAACACTGTGGGGGATCACAGACCATCACAGACCCGTCGGATCACGCGGCGTCGGCCACTTGGCCAAGGTACTATGGCCCAGAGGGAGAGCAACCCAACCGGTGGCCCCCCACCCACCCCCGCAGCGACCGTCGACGCGCGCGCGGTCGTCGGCGTCGCGCGCGCGCTCGTCACGCAGTGAAGAAGAGCGTCCTACACGGGCAGACGAGCGCGAGGTTCGGCGCCAGGTTCGAGCGCGCGCGTGCAACGGTGTGGTAATCCATCCTATCGAAGGTGATTGGAGTTTCTTTGATCGAATTGTAGGTCGCCAGGGGGTTCAAGCTGTACCGATCCTTTGGGTGTTCGCGTTGCTTTGTCCCATAATAGTGGCATTAAGTTCATCAAATGCCAAAACGACCGGGAGTCACATGTCGGGGTGGTGTTTGGTCCCTAAGGGAGTGGACCATTAAGCACTCTTTGGTGACTCCTGGGAGAGAGCATCTTCTAGACCCAATGTGCTGAACACTGGGCTTGGACTGGCCAGTCGAGTATCGACATCAGAATCAGGAGAACAAGATGAAAGAGAAGCAGAAGTAGCGGCTATTTGTCAATTTGTCAATCAATTGTTTCTATGACTGTCTAGGATTTTGATCTGCAATAGAATAGATAGACTGATGGACTCCACAAAATTTGTTCGGAGGAAGAATATAAACCCAGCCCGCTGTTGAATAAAAACTTTCCACACCGGCAGCGACTTAGATGGATGACGCGGAACAATAACGTGGCCGGAGTCGCTTCTAGGAGTAGCTTCTTGTTCCGTTCGTAGCGATGGCCTCCACCGTGCGTAGCTTCTTGTTCCTCGTGTGAAAGGCTCGAACACCGCAGTAACTTAGATCGAGCTGGGGGACGCTTGCGGTGACCGCGGATGGCAGCTTGGCGTGGGGATGGAGACGGACCCGATGGGTAGGGATCCAGCACGCACGACGTGTGGTTGCGATTGACAGCGTCTTTGCCTCCGTTCGTAGGGATGCCCTTGCTCCTATATAGTAATTAGTAATTAAGGCCAGGAGCTACTAGTAGCGTCGCTGGTCAGTTCTTGTTTGGTTTCGTACAAAGTACGAATTTTCACTCGTCGTGACGCGATTCAGCCATGGTTTGGGCCGCGTTCATATAGGATTATTCGTTCCAAGCTTTCTGCCTTGTCGCCCTCCGGACGGACTCCATGACAACCGAGTCGTCCGCGTCGCCCACGAAAGCTTTGCCGACAAGGGTGAACCCAAACAGGAACCTAATAGCAAAAGGAACATAAAAAGCGTAAAGAGCAATGGCCTCAGAAAACTTGCGATGGCCTCCACCAGGAGTCGGAGTTGGGTGGTTTCCTTCCAGTGGATGTGACGTTCGGGGTACTCATATCCTCCTTCCTGGTGTTCCATTGCTCTTTCTTTCCACTCGGTACCAAGTAACAGTAACGTTCAAATGACTCATTTTACCCCGAATTATGGTAGTGGTGGATTATGACTACCAGGTGGGGTAAAATGAGCCCTTGGAAGCTCTGGGTAATATACAAAGCTCCTCGCTAGTGGTGTATCGGTTTGATCAACATCGACTCAGCGGCTGAGCCACGAGCGGGAGAGCGATGAATTTTTGTCCGTCGTAGCTACCAGATGATTTGGAGAGCTTCCCACATCATGGAACAAAGACCTACACGACGCACGACCTGCGGCATAGAACAGAAGGGGTACCAAAACTTGTTTAATGCACTGGATTACTTTGTGCAGCAACTTAAGGCAGTGACTATATTCATGGATACTCATGGACATAGCCCAAGCCTATTATGTGCATGAATATCCAACTTGTGTTGAGCAATGACACTGACATACACTTACAGTACGTAGAGAGAGAGAGAGAGACGCCAGCTGACGATTAGTAGCTGGTATGAATGCTAACGACTTCTGGAAAAACAAACAATCGGATCCTTTTTGGGCTTGGAATGCCAGCCTTAGGTGATACTGGGAGGTCATCACGGTCATTGCTTTTGGGAGACCGGACAATACCATGGACCACCCGGACCAGTGGCCGAAGCTGGCAACAGCACTGACCAGAATTAGGACGTTACAAAGAAAACACCATCAAACAAACTCCATCAAACACCAAACAAACATCACCAAGCCCAGCCGGAATCCTATATGCACCACCCCCTATGGGGGTTGTTCCCAGTGCGGTTTTTTACCGAGATGACACCGAGACAAGACGCAGACGTGTTTCCCCTCGCAGCGGGCGCAGCAAGCGAACGCTAACGCGTCGGGATCGAGGCCATGTGCGATGTGATCGATCTCGATCTGGAGGCGGGATCCATTGAGTCGTTTGCGCGGAAGGCAAATCAAAGAAAGCCATGCGGAAAAATGGGTGGTTTCCATCCACCCAATGGAAAGCAATGCACCTGGAGCCTCAAATTGACCTCGGAAAATGGGTACAGTCGTACCTGTTTTTATGGGGTCATGTCCCATTTTTTAAGGTACTTGGTTAGTCGGGTCCAGGCCGTTGCGTTTGAGCAAGACAACGACAGCCCTAACTTCCTCGTCGTCCCTCAAAACCGAGAAGGTGAGAAACATGAGAAACCCCTTTTCCCCGAGGATTGGGGTCCAGCGTTTGGGAATGCCGATCTTCCGCAGGAAATGGTGGCCCACAGCGGCCAAGCGGCCAAGCACATCGCCCTCACCACACGGCCGAGCACAGCAACGCCCACAAAAAGGCGATGCAAAACCCTACAAAACACGAAGGCGATGCAAAACCCTCAAAAGCCCTGCAAGCACGACCATATCCCTGCAAGCCCTTGGAGAATTCTTCAGCCTCTTCGCTAGTTCGATGATCTCAAGCCGGTAGTTTCCATGTTTATGTTTTTTTTGCGGGTTTCAGGATTCTCATTTGAGTTGGTCAGATGAACTGCAAGAGGACCGGGATTGCCTCGGCTTGGAGATTGATCAAGGCTTTCATACTGGGAAACCCTCAGAGTGTCACAAGGCTTTCAAGAACCGGGTCAGTCGATCGCAGTCGATCAACTCTTTGCTTTTTTTTTCAGTGGGGGCCATAGGCTGGTGACTCCCTGGTGTGAGTGGGGGATGAAGCAACCAGTCATGAACTGAAGTCTAACAGATTCTAGGAGTGAGTACTGTTTGTTCCATCCAAACCTTGCATGTTCAGAAGAAGAAGAATAATAAGCCGAATAAGAAACAACAACAACAACAACAACAACAACGTGTAAAGACCTGCGAGCAAACAAGAAACAACTCGTTCCGCAGACAAACAATGTTGTGTCCTTCGTTCATAGAGGTACTCTTTGGGTACTTGCTGGGGTATTGGATGCTCCCAACATACGAAGACACATGAACAACGAAGAGATCATGAGATTGTGCTCAGTGCTCAGTCGGGGTGACCTGCTTCAAATGTGACGGGTAGAGTGGTGGAGCGGTGACTTGTGGTGTTTTTTCTCTGACATACTTCATGACATATTAGGTTTCCTCCAAGAATTACACGTGTTCTGTTTAGCATCATCAAAGTAAAAAAGACAAAAACATTTCTGTGTGGTATGTTAGCGTGAGGTGCCCTATTTGTGAAACAGCCCTGAGAGCGGGCCATGTTAGTATGGACACACTGGGGGAAACATGCTTGGAGAATTTCCCAGGTGTATGTTGCACATTGAGACTAACATGGATCAGAGTGGAAGGTTTTTGGTTCGATCTTGCACATGCTATGTTAGTGTCGCTGCCTGGTCGCCTGAGTGTTGTGTTCTAGGTTAAGGTTCTAGTGGAGCAATTTGTCCTTTGGTTCATTTATAAGCACTACAGTAAACTACAGTACAGTATGACAGTATGTTACTTTTCCTTGGACTCAGGGCAAGGTTTCAGTTGACAGCTAAGCTAAGGTCCACGTTGTGGCTGATCATTGCAAAAAAGATCATCTGGTTTCAATTTGTTTGCATACTGCATTTCCTGTCACACAGTATGAACCATCAGCCACCAGAACAAAAAAGAACAAAGACATACAGAATTCCGGGAAAGGAAAAAGGCCAGCCGAGCATGTTAGTGTGAGGTGCCCTATTTGTGAAACAGTCCTGGGAGCGGGCCATGTTAGTGTGGGCACACTGAGTTTGGCAGGTGCATGGAACACGGTGAGGCTAACATGGATCATTTCCAGATACTGGATTCCCTGGATCTTGGCTACTTCTGACGTATTCCATGTTAGCATTTATTAGCATCTCAAGGGTGCTGCATTTCTAGTGCACCAATCTTCATTCCGGCCTTGTAGTGTTCTACGTTAGTCTCCGGAATCACCTTTTCCTCTCATACCGGTGCTTTCCATATTCCCCGGGACTTCTAACGAGCAGGTTGTTAATGAGCACTGAGAGTTGGAGCCACGTTCCATGACAAACTTCGCCGGAGTACACGTGTTCTTTTTCTGAACGTTCTTTGTTTCGTGATGGTCTTCTCTCTGGAAGACTCTGCTTTCATCACTTTTTGTCGAGCGTTTGCAAGTTTGTAACATTCTAAAAAAATGTGTATTCTCCAGAAGTCTCTACTTCGTCTCAAACAAGTTCTAACTATCTCTTCCCGTTCTTTTCTGTAGAAGTCTCTACCTCAGCCAGCTTTGCGACCTCTGTGCAACCTCCCCTTGAAGCCAACTCGCAAGTTTTCCTTCTGAAGCTTAGAGTCCCAGGAGTACTCCCAGGCCTTCCTTCGATTAATTTGACGCCCTGAACACAAAACCACGATGTTTTGCCAGGCGCATGTCTCCATGTGTATACTATCCATGTGTTCTGAATTAATTACGTACATATTATGGAGCTTTCGCGCCCAAAAATGGAGACAACAATGTGTGTTCATATCAAACGGACAACCTGACCATCGACGGAGGTGCGGCAGGTTTCACATGCCATCCAGGACTCGCCTCCCCTGGTCGACGCGGTCCCGGTCCAGCCGGATGACACGCAGCTGCGGCAGGTGGGACGGGTGAAGCAACGGGGCGGCGGATGGGGATTGGGACTCTCGGTTGTTTTCAGTTAGGAACGAGATAGTGTGAGTATCTCTATAGCACCTTTTGGACAACTAGACACATACGGAAAGCATCACCCTGGACTTTGACCATTTAAAGTATGGTTGACCTGGTTTTGTAGTGTAAAATCCTCAGATTCGGGCAAAGGCCATTAAATTAATGGTGGTTGGAACTCTAGGGATAAGTTAACTTGAGATTTTGTTCTGGCCATTGTTTTGTCAAATGTGTTTTGATCGTTACGTTTTGTCAAATGGTGTTTTTTCCTATCTAGCTTTATCTAGCTGCCAGAACAGCCCAACAACCTGGTGCCCGCTGGTTTCTGGCTCCTGATGTAGTGGTAGGACCAGGCCCCGACTTGGGCCGATCAAGGATGAACAAGAAACAGACATATGGCCGTGAGCCATCACACCTGGAGCCTAGGTTGACCATGGACACGGAAGCGTCTATATATTCTGTTCATGTTCGGAGTTTTTCCAGGGCGTCCCAGTGCCATGAGAGACGATTCTCACATGGGTTTCGTGGAAGAAATGGCTGTGGAATAGCATGGTTCCCAGAAGGAAGACTTTCCGAATACCAATCAGCTGGTGAACTCCACTTGCGAACGTGAGTCAGAGGGTAGTTATTGACAAGGAGAATCAGAGATATCAGAGCATCTTTCACACCCTAAGGATCCGTGCGAACCCTCCCAAAAACCAAGGTGTTTTCCACCCTCCCAAACGCAGGGGAACCAGGGGCACCCCGAACCAAACCCTTCGGTTTGAGGGTCCGGATCCTTCGGGATCCTTGGGGTATATAGGCACCTGAGGTCCGGTCAGTGGAGTCGGCACCGACTCGTCAGGTCGTGGTCTCCGGTCCCCACAACCCGAAGTCGGAGCAACGAAGCACCGAAGACGGGGGAACCACACGGACCCGGAGTTTGCTTGGGCACTCCATCCAGGACTGGAACATATTATTTACATTGACCCTGAAAACACCTTCCAATCATCCCAAGCGAATTGGCAAATCATGAACTCCTAACGACTCCTAACGTCCGAACTGATCATCCAACTGAGAAACTGACGTCCCATGGGAATTGTTAGGGGCAGCTGCTCAGCTCATCCTTTCTTTCGCTTCACGCACAAAGCCTCGGATTCCACTCTCCACTCGTTCCTCGCTGGTGACGTAGTCACAGGGCCGAAAGTCTTCCGTGTCTTCCGTGTTTTAGACGTCGAGGGTACCGCAAAAAGAGGATGAGACATGTGTAACAACATATATGCACCATCGTGAGGCCATCAAGAATTTGATGCTGGGAAAGGATCTCAGTACCATCTCTTTGAAGGCCAGGCAGCGCCGCGCGCCGCGTGAGGGGACATCGGCGGGGGGGGGGTGTCGTCAGTGAGAAACACCGGGACGTTTGCGGTCGCGGCGGGTCACACAGCGACTTGGGCGGTTTGTTTTGGGTCGGTGGAGGGTAACGTTGTACGTTGTCCCCCACGTGGGTGAATCTCGCTTTTTCATGGGGGAGAAGACCTGGCGTTCCCCAGAATACCTAGCACTTCTGTAAAGGATCTCAAGATGGCGCCAGTGCTGGCGCCAGTATTGGAAGAATACCGGGTGGGACTGGGGAACTCCAGGTATATACCCCTTGCGGACTGAGAGCATTGACCTGTGGTTTCGATCATTTGAATACCAGCCCAGAAACTGGGATGCCATGTGGTCCGAATTCGTGGTCGTATGACCTTCTTGTGGAAGAGCGTCCGGGTCGCAGCATGACGTCCGGATTCTACCTGGGATCCTCGTTCGTTGCCTGGACTCGTCCCTCTGGATCGGACGGAAGGTCCGACCCTCGCGTTCGTTCGGGTCCTCGACCCCTTGGGCTGAGATCAGCTTGGTCAAAGGCCCCAAAGGCTATGGCGGCCATGAAGCATACTAGTATCGGTCCAGCATGTTGGGAGCATGTGGGGAGCATGAAAACACATCCAATTGGCCGCAATGTGATCCCCATGGTCTTAGTTTTGACAGATTCGGCATCCTTATGTCTTTAGACAACAAGAATCCAGCCCAAGATTCCTGCTTGGCAGTTGCACCATTCACAGTCCTTCAGCAGCGTGTCGCCCCGTCATTCACCTCCCAACAGAATCTCATACTGCGATATACTTGTAGAGTCAGAATATTACACATATATGTTGATTTGTCGCAAACAATGCAGACAAAATAGGAGAGTTCTCACATCGGGCAAGGGGAACTTTCTGAATTTGTTGGTTGCTCCACGGGACTGGGTATGTATGTGCCATTGTACTATACACTCCCCCTAAGAATCAAGAACCCTGGATCTCTGATCTCAGGTGTTTGAGGGTCCAAACCCCTGCGATTTGAGCAGGGTCAAAGCCCTCGAGTTCGGAAGGTCGAATGCTAAGAAAAGGGCCCCTGAACTCATCATGCAAGGGAAATGGCACCATGAATTTGCTTGGTCTTCGGAAGACTCGCATCTCCGAGTCGGACCCGGGACCTGACATCTGAGGCTCTTCGTTTGGACTTGGAGAAGGGCCACTCGGACCGCGTCCAGGGAATCGCCGTGGAATCGCCGTGGAACGCGTGGAACGCGCGACGACGAAGTCCTCCAACTGTGGGAGACAAAACCGTTTGAGACGGCGAAACCGAAGCGAACCCGAACGGAGGTCGGCTCCGGGTCTTTCTTTACTCGGAGACATCGAAAAAAGCGATCCATTTTTGGCTCCAACCCGACTGGAAGTTCGTAGTATTGGCCAGGAGCTTCGTTCGTTGCGTCCTTGCTCCCTTCGTAGCGATGGCCTGCACCGAGCAGAGCGTAGAAAGGGTGGCAGGAGGGAGCAGAAAAAGCATCTCCCGGCAGTTCCATGAGGGAAGTGTTTTAAGATGTTTTGCGCACAACTTGGTCCTTTATTTTCCTGAACCTGGGGTAATTCCCCTGGCATGGGGATGTCTGGGGAAGATGTCTTTTTACTTCTGAACGGAGCAAATCCAATGGATGTGACAGGGGCACCCCTACCTCAAAAAGAAGCGAAAGGAGTGTCGTCTTTGTTCGTTGAAAGAACAGATGTGCGCTCACTGCCATGTGGCACTGCTTGCAGATGATACAATCCCTAGGGATCCAAGTACCTTCTCAGGAGGTACACCCTCCAAAGCTAACAGTGTCTCCAATCACCTAACCTGAGAAGGTACGACTGGATCCCTAGGGAATGTTTGAACCTGTTTCAGACGGAGATTCATTGGCCCGGACACTTGCAAGAAGATCACTCGCACAGATGAGTCAGACTGAGTCGCCACTGTGCATCCATTGCCAACAGAGGTTAAGTGACACCAGGGGTACTTATAGGATAGTCTAGTTCGGGTTCTGACCCACCTCTGCTGGTGGGTCACCATGCAGGTCAATGATAGATGTTGTCAGACCGCCATGACCCAGACGCGAACCGGACTCCTCGGGGAAAAGGGGTCGATCTGAGGTTTCGAAGCCCAGTCCCTAGCCTCGGTTTTCAGGGACCGGTAGGGCTGTTTTCACGGAGCGTTCTGGGTAGAATGAATTTGGGATCCAGTTTGACAGAACTTTCTATACGACACGTCCACGCCCCACCCACTCCACAGATCTCCACGTCGAGTCGAGGCTGACAACCCCAAAATAAGGTGGGGTCTTCCCATTCGCTAGTAGGAGCAAGGACGCTACTCCTGGCCGTACTACGAACAAGAAGCTACGTTCGGGGCTCCTGGCATCGCTAGAACAAGGACGCTCTTAGGTTGGAGGCCATCGCTTCTGGTGAACCGGACTTGGATCAGTTCCATCGGACCAGCGAAGCGTGTTTCCTCATCCGACCGGCCAGGCTTTGGCGTGACGTTGGAGGCGAGGAAGAATGACATCCGGCAGCTGGCACAGGAGCTCGCCGCGGTCGCCCAGAGTACCGCGGTCGGGGACGTACCGCGGGAGTACGTGGGGTAGCGCTTGAAAGAGGTGACCGAGTTAGGAGCAGATAGGAGCAGATTCGCGTCTCATTTGATGTGAATAAAACCGGCCTCACTGAGTAAGTGCATGTGTGAATCAAACCGCCTGGTCCGCCTAGAGTTTGCCTATAGTAGGAAAGTTTCAGGTTCAGATGAGTATTTTTGGAGGCCTTGAACAGATCGTTCATGCATGGAGGGAAATACAGGGTTGTTGACCGGTCACACTGTTTTGGCTGGTCCAGGGTTTAGGGTTTAGGTGTCTTTGGATTTTCCCCGACTGAACTTTGGTGATGCTTCCTGTATAAAGGCTGCCCTCCCTATTTCATCATCATGTTGGATTCCCTGGAAGTCCAGTCGACGATTTAAAACATGGTCCGACTTCGGGATTGATGGCCTCGAAGACTCGCGGGGGGCCATGGGCAGAAGCAGAGTCTCCAACACAGAGTAAAATAACATTACATCTCTACAGAGGACCTTTCCGTTTATAAGCATGAAAGCCATGATGATAGATATAGCCAGTAATTATAGTAGCTGGTATAGCCACATTTAGTCCTGTTAGATAGATTTGTTATAATTATAGCATGTATATACCTAGATCTTCCAACTCTGCAAAATGTATGCCTTTTGGCTGGTTTTATACACTAAAAGGCATAAATGTTGCATAGTTGGAAGATCTAGGTATACTGGCTAGCCTGTGATCTTGTGCTAGCCTACTCCTTTCATCAGGTCGTCGAAGCACAGCATGCTCCTCCAGCACCGGCCACACCACAGGCGCGAGGTTTTGGGTTCCACGCCGAAGCTTTCGGCGTCTTTCGCTTTTGGGAACACGTTCTTACGTGGTGGCGTGCGTCGAAAATCCGGCGGGTTCCGGTTCGTGAACGAGCCGCCGAACCGAACAGACAGGTGGCTAGAAATGCTTTTCATCCGCTCAGTAGCGGGATCTGATTGGGTTCGGAGGACGTGCCAGCATGTGGTGTTGACCTGGTGCGCGAGCTGAACCGCTTCAAGAACGAAGAACATCGAACGAAATCAAACATGGTCGCGATCATTGAGAGAGACATGCAGTAAAGCCTGTAACATTCAATCACATTTTTTTTGCTTATAGTTTATTTTCCTTATAGTTAGTAATAGCATGGGAAATACGGCAATTGTTTTAATTAGTAATGCTCAGTTCCTTGAGCAAATCCAAGTATATTTAATAAAGGGTGGGCCATTATTACTCTCTTTGGGCACCACACCGAGACAGTACCACACTGATACTCTCAAGCTGATCCTCTCTTCCTTTCAGTGGGACGTTTGGGACGTTTGGCAAGACGACGCACAGATGCGACGAAAAACCTCTTGGACACTGCCAGTCTCGATGCTGGAGACCCATATCAGAACAGAACCGCCGAAAAGAACGCCATGAGAACCATCGTTGTCAGCATCACAATTCAGGTGATGCTTGAGAACCTCCCGAGCTGGGTGAACATCCTATAACCTGTGGTTTTCTAAAACCATCCGAATCCCCTTTCCCGGGCTTCAGCGACACCGACACCGTTGAACGTCGGTGGGGAGGGGGCGCCGAGCGGGTCGCGGGGGGGCCATGCGCGGAGCTTCACATCGAAGACTTGAAGATGCAGATCTAGAAGACCTATAAGCAAACGATCAGAGATGGAGAAGGTCTTGGACGCTTATAAGGCTTTTGAAGGGTTTGGAAGCTGTTGGAAGCTTCCGATCAGATACTTTTGATGGACACATGGTGATGCTCGTTGATGCTTGGAGAACAGATCAACATAACTGGGTATAACAGCATGCAGGTCCTCACTCTTACATGGTGATATTGATGTGATTGACTGACCTATCAGAGTGCTTTTTTCATGTTTGAGCGAAGTAGCAGCACGAACGCAGGAACGCTCGCGAGTTCGTGCTACAGTCCAGCTTTGAAAACGATGACGAACGGGTCTCAGCACTTAGGGTTCTCAAGCTAGTTTTGATGGTCCCTAGGGCTCCAAGTTTTTCCTTAGAAGGTATGACTGGACACTCCTGGCACCCACCCCAAACACCTAAGAAGGTCCTTGGAGCCCTAGGGGTTCCGAGTTTGAACGTGTTCCTATGTTTTCCTAAAGTTCCCTCATGTATCCCAGGACACTAGAGTCGTCGCCCTGTGACTATACCAATCAGTTGGGAACCTTTCTTTGGGTCAATTTAGGCACTGGCGTCAGGTCATGTACAGTGGTTTCAGAATAGATGGCACTGGCGTCCACCCAACCAGACAGGTGACGTAGACAGATGGGGGGTCCACTCAACCACCGAACTTGGGGTCTTCATTTCCACCTGAAACCACTGGAAATTCAGTGCCTTGCCCTCCGAATCACCAAATAGGTGTTTCCAAGGTCCGCCCTACTCGGCCCTACTCGGCTCATCCTGGAAAGGCTGTAGAGCCCGCCGCCAAGAAGCGTCGCATCGGCGCGGGCATGGTGCAGGCGGGCGCATCGGCGTGGGCAGGCGTTGTCGTGGATGTCTTATGAGGGTATTATGATTCTATATGGGAAATAGGCCTAGCCAGGAAGAGTAAAGCACCATGGTAAGTCACCAGGTCAATCACCGAAGTGGGGGGGGGACACATGGGTTCAGGATTGGTGTCCCCCCACTATAGATGGAACAGGTGGACTGAACATGTCTGAGTCAGCAAGAGATCTCCGTCGCCAGGGGAGTCAGCAGGACACACACACACTGCTTTTCGCCCCATTTCGGTTCTTGTTGTCCGCCGTGGTCGGTCTCCAGTTTGGGTGCCGGCTCGAGGAAGGAAGGAAGGAAGGAAGGAAGGAAGTGCCCCTGTCACATCCACGGCTCCTGGATGGACTAAAGACAATTCCTGGTTGGGGAACTGGTGAACAGCTCCTTTTGGAGGTGAGATGCAACCAGTCACCCACCACGTGCATCGCCGTGGCTGCACGGGCGCGGTCGGGCGCTCTCGTCGTCGGCTGGGTTTCTCTCCATCCATGTGGCGGGTCGTCGCGAGTCCAGGGCTTAAAGGAAAGAAGAGAAAGGAGTAACCCTAGGCCTCCAAGTATCTTCTGAGAAGGGGTTTGGGGGTGGGTGCCAGGAGGGTCCAGTCATACCTTCTGAGGAGGTACTTGGAGGTGTAGGGTAAGTGAGTCAAAAACAAACGGCGCCGGGAAGAAACACATGGGAGTCAAAGACTATAAAGATAATGGTCTTTCGGCGACACGAGTCTAGGAATGTCCTTCACTGCAGTCGGTCAAAATATTTTCTGTGGACTTCTATATAGCTAAAAGAAGAGAAGCAAGAACGGGACAACAAACTTCATGAAAGCTACACCGCTATATATTGAGTATTTCATCGTACCCTTGGAGCCCTTGGAGTCGTTTTTGTTCCCTCCGGTAGAACCCACCGCTGGTGCACCTGCCGGTCTAGCGGGCTCAGCCGGAGGCTCAGCCGGAGGCTCAGCCGGCCTCGCCGGTGAAGACCAAGGCTCCGAAGCGGAAGGCGCCACCCGGGAGCACTGGCGGAAGGTGTTCGCACGCCAAACACCTGGGTGCGCGCGTTGTGTGGGCGCGCTGTCCCGGGGGCGAAAGCCCGCCCATGCGGTACGTATCCATTGAGCATATATTGCCCATGTGGTACTTCCATTGAGCACACTGCCGTTTCGCGGGAGTGAGTGTTTGCCAGTCACACGGGATGCGCAAGGGATGCGGCTTGCGCACCTTTCGAAATTGGACACTTGAAGAAAATCCTTGCACAAGTATCTTTCTGGAAGGGGTCAAAACAGAACTTCTACCGTAACTCGGCTGTGTCTCAATGATTTTCGATCATTTTCGATCAATTTTTACCTTTCAAACCTCGGCTTTGGACAACACAGAGGGCCCTTGTTTCTAAGCTGCGGTGAGCTCGTTCCTGGAATCTGCCCTCGCTCCGCATCCTGCTTTGGACAGCCGGTCTCTGTCGAATCCAATTGATCCGGAAATGGGATCCCGAAGAAGGGAGGCTTCTAAGGAGAACGGGTTCCCCACGAGCATGAATCGCCATGGTTGCGCAGTGCGGGTGAAACTGGCTTGACATACACGAATTCCTATACCCCTGTGGTGTTCATCTCAGGAACAAGCTGTGACAGCCCCAAGCACCACCTGGCAGTGCGAAAAGCAATTCATTCAGATACATTCAGGCAAATGTTTGTGATCTTCTTCTGTACAGCTGTGTTTCTAGGGAAGGATGATTCAAGGTTCCAAAGCGCAGATCCTTTGACAACCCGAACGTGACCTCACAGTCCCTCGTAGATCCTTTGGTCACGGACTGAAGAACCGTCGACACGAGTTCACAGCCCTTTCCTGCTCCCTCTAAAACCTGGTGAGAACACCCAGACCTTTGACCCCAAGGATAGGGTCCGACCCAAACTCGCGTCGGTCGGTCGACCGGGGCGTGTTTGGATCGTGGAAGGCACCTCCCAGCGCCTACAAGCTTTGGAGTCTGGAGCACCGTGCCATCGTGGTGCCTGGGAAGACAAGTCGGCCGGACGTTGGTGGGTTCGATCGTGTCGACCCACCTGGTGTTCGGTTGGACACGTTTTGTCTCTTCGACGTGTCCGAAAAAGCACAACCCACATGGAACCGGGCTGATGGACCAGACTGGAAGACGGTTTTCCTCTACAAACCGCAGGTGGTTTTCAGGTTCGGTCCCCATGTTTCCAGGGCGTAGAGAGGGAAAATGGGACCTGAAGCGGCTCAAAAGCATCAGACGGTGGCGCGTTGTTCACAGCCTTCGGGTGATGGGCCATTCTGATCATATACGCGATTCGACCGTCCAAGTGACCAGTTTTGATGCAAGATCACAGAAGAAGAGACGGGAGTGTGACATTCCTGATCTTTTCAAGCCTTTGCTTGAAACTATGATGGCAATGCTAGGCATATTTTTGATAATGCAGACATCACCACCTCCCTGACTGCTCTGATGTGAAGAATTTCTGCATATGAAGAATGTTTGCATATGTAAGGGGTGGATTCTGATGGTCACAGCATCAAATATAGGGAGACCGATCCGCCGGCATTCCGGTTTTCCATGGACAGTTTGGGAAAACAGACACGCGGAGGGGCGAGAAAGGGGGTAACACTGAATCCAATTCATTCAAACACACACACACACAGGACTTTTGTGGATGTTCCTTCGCGGATCGCGACCCAAAAGCCCTCGCACGTCACCTCTCTGAAGAGGTCGAAGAGCTTCAGCAGGAGGGCGCAGCAGGGCCGTGGGGCCAGACGACCTGGACATCCGGAAATTGATGGAAATCCCTGACCTTCGATGAACAAGAATGCTTGACCTGGTCGTGTATAGTGTAACATCAAGTGAAATCTATAGTCACTATAGTCCTTCAAAGACCATTTTTCACAATGCTTCAAGCAACATTTTGTAGGTGTAAAGATCATGCAAAATCCTTCGTCGAACAATGGTGGACAAGGGATTCAGGCTATTCAAATCGGTAGGCCAGGAATCCATCTGGAAAATTCCACCTGGAACTCTTTTTGTGGATCCACTGCAGGAGCTGCAGCGCAAGTTGGGGTGCTTGGATTGGGGGAGTTCCCGCGATGTGGAGCTGTGGAGCCATGTTGTCAGTCTGCAGCGGGATCAGCTTGAAGTGCATCGTGAGTACCCCTAGATGCTTGGAATTGCCTCCATATGGGAGCTACCAAAACAAGCTCCACCGCAAAATTTGATTGTTTCAGGTGGGCGTGGGGCACCAAGTATGTTATGACCTTGATTTGGTCGGCGCAGGATGTTTGCGAGAGTAGCTGGTCCCCCATATAATCCCATATATAATTCTTGGATGTCATTAGGTCACTTCTCGAAGCTACGAAGCCCAACTGGAACAGTTTTTGTTAGAAAGCTGCATGATGCAAAGCTGGTGAATATCCTCACGACTTCACTCATGAAATACCTGGATTATGGCACGGAATGGCAGTTGTTCACGTGCCAAGTGGCAAATCTTGGACGAGAGACAGTTCCTCCACACACCGAGCCTGGTTACCTCAGCAGTCGCCGCTGGAAAGATGCAAACTGCTGCAGCCACTGGCGGGACGTGCAAATCATGTAAGTGACGTACCTCCTAAATGTAACTTACATGTTTGCATGGTAATTGACCTTGGAACATGTATACTCCCTCCTACCCCTAGGGCCCTAGGGGTAGGGATGGTGCAAGTCTTGTGATTTTGGGTGACCCCCCCCTCTTCCGAGTGAAGCCAGCCGAAGTTGTAGGTCAGGGACTCACACATCGATGTGTGCATTGCATACTTCAGCAGTGGAACGAGAGCACAAGGTCGGGTACCACCACCCTCACGACCCAGTTCACCGGTTCACCTAACTAGGGCCCTTCCCAAGCTGACCGGAGACCTGAGATCTGAGTCGAGTCGGATGCTGCGTCCATAGATGGATATCGTACCATCCGTGGCCATGAGGGAGTCAGACTCAGAGACTTGGACCACCTCTGCCGAGCCAGAGCCATTCAGAATCAGTGAGCGACCTCGAGTCGATCATCCCAAGACATGAATGCACCGGAAATCCTGTTCAGATTCGAAAAAGCAGTCGACTTTCAGAATTTCAACCTTGGCTTCAGGGAACGTTCTGTAAGCTTCAGGGCTCTAATGACGATGTCAGCTACTATATAATTCTGTCTATGGCACATATATTATATTATAATGGATTTAAAAAGAATCTAAAAGACACACACTCGCACCATCACACACAAGTATTATTCTTATCAGCCCCTTTTTTCGGCCCCCTTTTGGCCTGTCTTTTCAGCCCGTTTTGGGTTCCCCCGTGACTGACCCCGGTGACTGACTCACCTCACTCAACCTCTCTTGGTTTGGCTTCGTTCGAAGGCCCACTTTCGCCGAGATCAGCAAGGCAGTCCCTGAGAGATGGAAGGCCATCGACCAGGCCGTCCTTCGACTCATCGACCACGCGCGGCACGGCTCCGCAGGGTGGGTGGTCAAAGCTGCTGTGGTTCAGGGATACGGGTTCCGACTGGTTCCGTGTGAGGCTCGCTGGAGGTCTCTGTTTTTTGTTTTTTTTCGATTGGAGTTTGAACACCTGCGCGTGGAAAAGTGGATCACCCTGCAGGTCACCTTTTGGGAGGGAGACTCTATGATTCAAGATCCACCAGTTTTCCGGGTCAGTCTGGTCATCTGGGGTGTCACCCGTGTCATGTTTCAAGGATAGGTGCCTTCCCCAAACACCATCCCAAACAAACGCAACGCCATATTAAAGAAAAACAAACAAAAGAGGTACCAAGGTGGCAGGGCCTGCATGAAGTCGCTCCAAAACGACCGGCTCCAGTTCTGCAGGAAGGAACAAAGTGAAGGAACAAGTCGTTCCCAGTGGATCCCAGTTACGTACCCCTACATAAGGCACCAGGATTTCGAAGTCTATCTTTAGAACCACTGGTCACCAGCTATAGTGGTAACCATGCTATAAGGAAGGACACATTTGGTTCAACAAATGGGCTCACAAGTATCAGTATAAGGGGTTCTTGATGTTGGCAGGATCTGAGATGTCATGAGTAAACTGGATGTAAACGGGCATTGTCCACCACCGCGTGCTACCTCACTTTAGATCAATAATACAAAGTCGAGTGTCAAGTTTCAAGCATTGACTTGCCGTTTCCTGGATAGAATAAACCGAGATGTAGACCTCAGAAACTTCATGTCTGGATAGAATACACTTGTACCTACATTCACCCCTGCAATCAACCGCCCCAATGTATGTCAATATTCAATTCCATCCCCAGACCATCCATGGGACTGGAATACCTACATTTACCCCCATTTGTGACCGGGAAAGGTAACTGTTCCAGTCCCGTCTGGGATTGCTCGCCCCGGAGAAGGCGGAGAAGGCCATGTACGAAGAGAAGGCGAAGGTCGCCAAGGCGTTGTGACGTGGGAAGGGTCACCTTTTCCTGTTGGAGAGCGAAAAAAGGGAAGCATCAACAAGAGCCAGCCTATAGGTCAGTGAACGGCCGCATCTGAGTGGAGTTGATCATACATACACACTACGCAATGAGGTTCGTTTTTTTAGTTTTACTAGGTCTATGGACCTGTAGGGCCAGGGGAAGGTCTTCAGACGCTACTAGGAGCAAGGACGCTACTAATTAGGTGGAGGTCATCGGTACTAAGAACAAGAAACTTTTTAGTATGTCTTAGAAGCTTCCTTGGGAATCGTTTCACCTGTAGTAACAAGAAGCTACTAGGTCTGTAGGCCCCTTGAAAGGTCTTCAGACCACCCGTTTTGGTGACTTGCTATGTGGGTGATAGTTCTTTTCCGCTTTCCCGGGCGAATCCCCTGTTCTCCCGCTGGACGCTGGTCGGCAAATCCAAGCAAAGCAAATCATCGTTCTTTTTTCAGTTCGGTTTTTTCAGATGTGTTCTATAGCTGATCTGCTCCTGCCAGGATTGTTTTCGGTTGGAATACTCTTTTACAATTCTTCTGGACCCTCAGAGTAGCATGAACATGTTTTGTCATTGCATACTATGGTGTACGATAGAAAAGCAAAAACACCCAGGATCTGATGAAAAGAATCGCTTTGAAGCTTAGTTTAGCATACCATTAGGTAATACCCTGATGTAGAGAAGACCTCAAACTCTGCCGTCACCTGCTCTGCAAGCACGCCAAGCGCTTCAGGTGGCACAAGCTGAGGAGCTTCTTCCTGCGCGCTCCGCACGGGGTGGAAAAGCCCAGGGCGAGGCCTCCGCGGTCTGGGACGGGCAGATGGCTGGAGCTTCTTCCTGCAGCGGACCGAGGAAAACCGTCGGACTCCGGTAGTCCATGGTGTTCCAGAGTGTATGGCGGTGGGTTTTTCCCCGTGGGTGATCTGTTTTGTCCCGGGTACGTTCCGCATCGATCGGCACGTTTTCTGGATCCTTAAGCAACATATTACAGCTTCCTGGAATTATCATGGTTGCGTGGATTTCGGATGATTTCGGATGATCATGCCATCTGAATACCACGCTCAGCGGGATGGGACGTCCATTTCCATGATTTTTTTCCAGGGAATGTAGACCAATCAGTTTTTGTTTTCAAGTGGGGCAGGTTTTCAGGCATATACATTCCAGTCTGCGATGAATTCAGTCATGACCAAGATGCGCTTGGTGAGGGCAATGTGAGGAAGATGTATACCATTGTATACCGTATACTCAACGTCAAAAGGCGCAGTTTCCTTCCTGATGGGGTTGACAGGTCGACAGGGAGTTTGTGTTGACAGGTCGTTTGCTTCATTCCTGAAGTGATGGACTTCTGACTCTTTGCAAGTGCAGGATTGTTGTCTCACTAGTTGCTAGGAGTTCCGAGCTACAGGGGGTTCCGTTCAGTAGAACGACTCAGCACGTGGACTTCCTTCGCGTCGTTCCGGTCGAGATCCAAACGTCGAGATCGACGTCTCTTCGCGTCGTTCGGCTTCGCTTCTCTTGTGTGGAACTGATCTGTTTGGCCCACCCAGACCGTGTAGGACTGAGTCGGGGCTTTAGTAACCCGCGCGGACTGGAAAAGAACCTCCCGGGATGCCGCATCGGCTAGCGATGCCGCATCGGCCCACTCAGATGTGAAGAAGAGCCCGGAATTTGGTTGCATATTTTTTGGTGTTCAAGTTGAACCACCGAAGCGAACGAAGAAGCCACGTTGGAACTTCTGAATGATCCCTTGAAACTCCCTGGTCGTGAAAAGAAGTCCTCCAAGAAGCCACGTCTGCGTCGGCAGGTGCACGCCGAAGGACGCAAACCAGGCGCCAGACCCAGGGATCTGACCACGGCTTTCAGCAAAACAGATTCGCAAAAAAAGTGGCTTTGAGGTTTTCAATAGGGAGACCCCTCAACAAAAAGAGGCTAAAAAGGTTGATGTTCCGTTTTCGGGGTCTATTTCAAGAAAGTCTATGGGGCATCGTGGCATCTCCTCATTTCACAAGTAGCCCTTCTTGGAGTATCGACATCAATAGCTGGAACATGCTGTGGGACAGTACTCACTACAGAGTTTTGGGTCAGTCACGGGGTTTGTGAGCAGACACGATGTTGCTCTTTCTTCAGCGAAGTCATTTGGCGGGAAGCACGTCCAACAGATCAACCAAGATCAACCAAGCCAACCGTTTTCTATCAAGCGTTCGAGAAACGATTCTAGCCAAGACCCTTTCTGGCCATTCTAAATCTGAAATTTTGTTTTAAGTTATGTTTGCTAGCAAATTCTTGGGTTCATGAACCAGACATGCCCGGACACTGCAGCAGCGAAAACAACCTGATCAAGATCTATGTGGGCCATCCAGGATCTGGACCCACGAGTCATTCGTTCGTCGCTGCGCACGCAGCAGGGAAAGGGCGAGGGAAAGGCAAAGGGAAGAAGAAAGATGGTGAGGAGTCGCGTGGGGGGGCAGACAAAAGACCAACGGAACTGTCCGGGTGTTTGAAGTGTGGGTCGAAATGTGGGTCGAACACACACACACACACAAAGCCAGCACGACAAGCACACACCACAGTGACCTCTTGTGCGGGCGCTTCTTTCCGTGCGGGTTGTCCTTCGAAGTCGGAAAGAAGAAAACAAGTGCCGCACTTGAGATGTTTGAGATCCAGGTCCATGTTCATCTCAGTCATCCAAATCTAGATCGAACATATGGGGAAACCCCCATCACGCGTTGCCATGGACCATGGAAGATCTTGGACAAAAACGTTACATGCAGATTGGCTGGACACATCCTTACCTTCAGGATCATCTCAAGATCTACACACAGCATGGTGCTTGAAGATCTTTTGAGTGCATGGTGCTGCCTCGGGGTGATTTGCAGGGAAGTCATGCACAGCCCATGTCCGCTCCTTCAGAGGTCACTTCAAATGGGAGACAATCAGGGAGCCACCGCTACTAGGTTGGAGGCCATCGCTAGTATGTTGGAGGCCCTCGCTAGTAGGTGGGAGGCCATCGCTAGTAGGTTGGGGGCTTGGGGCATAGGACTTGAGTACTTTCTAGATTCCTGTGGGAGATGCATGTGTTTTAAAGGACGCCCCAACAGAGCCGAATGATGCAGAAGTGGCGCGCTTCTCAGGTTGCTTTTGTTGGTCCCCGTCCAACATCCTGAGTATGTGGAGGGCATGGCTTTTCCCTAAACAAAGGGTTTTAAGGACTTCAGAGGTCAGAACCAAGCCTGGGCAGCCTCAAATTGGATTTCATTTCCGTATCCGTTTTCCACCTCGCAGGAGCCTGTCATGACCCGAGCAGACTTCTTCCGCCAGAGCCCGACCATTCGCTGTGCCACTGGGACGAGGAAGCGGAAGCGGAGGTCGCCAGCGGAAGGTCAACGACAAGACAACAGGACACAACCATCCCAGGGCCCCCCTTGGCAAAAGGCTTGTTCTACTAAGACTACGACGCGAAAAAAGCAGGTTCCGGTTCCCGTCCGAGCCCAGCTGTGGGAGGTGCCACCGTGCGCCACGGCGCGTGAGTTGGGGTCCAGCGAGGGCATCCACGACATGTGCCGAGTCGTCGACTCATGCACCCGGATGTTCTCCCAAAGGGCAGCAGCTGGGCCTAATATATATATATATATATACCAGCACCCTCCAACAGGCTGTTAGTTGAGGGTTGTTGGACCCTAACAGGTCGAACCATTGGTGACCTGTCGGAGGGTCCTGGTATATGACTGTTGGTCAAAAACCGCAGGTCGACCCTGCTAGGTTGACCATGTCTGGTAGTCTGTTCATGTTCGGTGGGAAAAAAACCAGGCTCCCCGGCTTTCAGTGGGAGAGGAGATCGAAGGATACCGAGGATCGTTGAGCTGCAAAGCACCTTTTCGGACACGCGGTTGGTTTCAGTTGATGTTGTTCTTTTCAAAACTCAACTACACTTCAAGTCAAAAATGACCTTCTGGATCGGGGTCGTCGAGTGTTTCTGCGATTTTGGAGAAGGGGAGAAGGGCAGCCCTCCGGTGGGTGGCTGCGTCATGAATCTCATGACCCAAGGAGCCAGCGTCGTTGCCATCCATCCAGCCACGGGAAGATTCAGATGGATTTTGTGGACTGAGCACAGGGATTTGAGGACTAAGTGCAAAAAAAAATGCGTTGAACGCTTGTTGAACACAGGGTTTGTACCTCCTTTCCCTCCTTTGGTTGCAGTTTCTGATCCCCAGCGATCCACCACGAAATCGCGGGTTCGCCTCCGAGCGAGACTCGGTCGGTCGGTGACCGCTGGTCTCCGGGGTCCACAGCATGACGACTCCATCCCCACCCTCGGTGAGGTCAGTTGGACCACCTCGGTCAGGTCGAACAGCTCATCCAGTTGAAGGTCGGGTTTAACCTACATCCCGGTGTTTTTCCCCAAGCCCAGGGGGGTCTCAACTGGACTGGATTATACAAAAGCACTACTCATTGAGGTTGTCAGGACCAGGTGATTTCTGGATCAAACTGGACCTCTATAGGCTAGGGATCTACAAAAAAGGGTATGAGACACCCATTCCGAATGTCCCTTTGCCTTTTTGGGACACCAACCCTGACGCTGGCGATTTCCGGTCACGTCCCAAGCGGAAAGGAGGAAAACAGACATGATCCCATACCCTGGGAGTCAAAGACTATAGAATGGTCTTTAGGTGACCCGAAAGGGACTATCCTATTTACTTCAGTCGGTCTAAATATAGTCGAACTGGACTTCTTGAAGCAAGCCACTGGGTGTGTAAACTGAGCTTCGTGACCGTTTTCGTGACGTCACGTATATAAGTCTATCGCGACCGGTCTATTGAGATCGTTCGATCGTTCCTTCGGTCAGGAACCGAAGGACCAGGAGCCAGCTTGTTTGATCTTGTTTGTTCCTCCCAAGTGACTGTGCTCTCTTTTCGGATTCCATCAATTCACACTCAAGACTTGCTATAGGAAGGTATCAAGATGTATCAAGGTCTAGGCTAGCCAAAAAGAGGTATATACGTGAATTTGGGTACCTGAGAGTTTGGGACACTATAGCAATTAAAAAAGGAAGTGACATTTCAAGACACCTAAGCTTAAGGGTATTTTGAATAGGTCCTGAGATGTCCTGAGATCATCTCACATCATACTATAATCATAGTGGCTGTGCTGAATTTCTGCGGCCATTCTGCTTCTGAGGCCTTTGACGTGCCGGGTGTCAAGGTGCCTTCGGGGAGTGTTCAGGGTAGTCCAAGGTTGAATGGCATAGTTTCCCAGACACTAAAAATGGGGACTGGCACATTCGCCAATCATCAGTTGGAGTGGATTCAGAGGTACATAATCCCAGGGGAGTAGTAGGGGAGTCTACTGGGTAGTGGTTTCAGACACGACTGTTTTTTCCCGAATGCGTAGCGAAGGGTTCTCGTTTAACTCTGAGGGTCTGGGGGTAGAGCCTTGTTCGCGACCCGTTGTTTCTATGTTCGCAACCGTCCGCAACCGTTCGCAACCGTTCACAAGTGACCGCAACCGTTGGCAGTAGGGCGCTAAGGCGCTGCCATTGGGGGAAGCTTTTGCAAGGGACTTTGCATGGATGTGTCACGTGTCAGTTTGCGCCGCTATTCCATTGTGATTCGCATGACAATGACATATCGCGCAAGAAACGTGATGCACTTCACTGCACAGGCGCAGGTGTTTGTGAGATCTGCAGTTTGCTGCGCAGCTCCATTGAGATTAGCGTTTGGCGAGTCGTGTTTTTGGGGTGTTGGATGTGGCCGTGCCATTGGGATTTGCGTTTCAGGGTGTGGCATCGAAGCTCTGTTTTCGTGACAAGTCGCAGCTGAAATGCCGATTTTGGTGGATGGGAGTGTGCTCAGAACGGGTCGAAATCATTCCAACCGTGTGGTGTGTGCAAATTTTGTTGAAGCTCACATGAGATGATATTGTCACTTTTCGTGGCAGGCGCAGTACTTTGTGAACCTCCATGTGCAGACTTCGTGGCAGGCACAGCACTTTGTGAACCTCCATGTGCAGATTTCGTGGCAGGCGCATCACTTTGTGAGCCTCCATGTGCAGATTTCATGGCAGGCACAGTACTTTGCGAACCTCCATGTGCTTCTTACGAGACTTGACGTGTGACTTTTGGAGGAAGTCTCGTAAGAAGCGCTCGTTTTGGAGACTTGACGCGTGACTTTTGGAGGAAGTCTCGTACGAAACGCTCGTCTTGCAGCCTCAAAGCGTGACTTTTGGAGGACGTCTCGTACGAAACGCTCGCAGGACTGCTTCTAGTGTGCCACAAGAGTGTCCCACAAGAGTGTCCTACAAGAGTGTCCCACAAGA